GGTCAAAAAGGATATGATGATGTTACGCCAAGCGTGCATACTTTTGTGTTAAGTCAAAACGCACTTGCTGCATTCTTAATATTCTCAGGAAAAAGTAAGTAAACGCAAATGTACACACTTATTCCAAATATCAAATATCATTTCTACCGAAAACACGCATTTTGTTACATAATGCAGAAATCATCTTTTCTGGCCTAAGGGATATTCCCCATTTTGAAATTGATTTCATGAAATTAATAAATGACCCCTTGGGAAGGAAAGGGTTAATATGTATTTTTGCATTCACCAATGATAATTATGGAGTTGTGATTCTGAAAGCTGACACGCTCAAGGGTGTATTGAAAGCTTAGTGCAGATGAATTCTTTTGTTTGACCCTAGTTTTCACTACTATTAAACACGGATTGAGATGCGTATGTAATTACGTACTTCAAAAAACTAACTGCGAAACGAAAATTATCGAAATACGTTTCCGTAAACGTAACGAGATACGGATGCGGATACGTTTTAGCTAACCCGTTGTGCGAAACCTCTCTAATATGCCGATGAGGTTCCCCAATGGGCGATAATATGAAATTTCCGTGGATGATCATGTCACTAAAATGCTAAAAACGTGATCAATTAACTCGAAAATGATTAAAAATCAAAGTTCCTATGAAAGATTATACGCCAATAATTGATCCGCCACTCGCCTAAACTCACCAGTTCCACTGAAATACCTGTAAAATGGCTTCGTTTTCCGATTTCGAAAGAATGATTACATTGACTTCCTTATTTCCGGAATTTCATATCAAAACCGGTATTGGTGAAACGAAAACACGAAATAGATAATCAATTTTCATCACAGATGCTTCTTATCAGTAAACAAAGTTAGAGCATTAAAGGCCGGTTTTAAAGTTGCTAGCAACTCCCATTAAAATATCAGGTTACATCCACACTTTAACATGGTAGAGAAAGTCAGGATTGGTGAGTTTAGTTAACAGCATTGCTTAATACTCGATTTTGATTGGCTAAGCTTGAGGACTTTTAAATTTGAAAAATGTTATTTCTGTTTTTAAATGTCTTATCACAACCCAACAAAAGTATGATGTGAAAATCTATCTTCAGAATATGAACATGAAAACATTGAAAGATACACATAACAAAACCTAAAGCAATACATTTTCTCAATCAATATGAAATTTGAGAAAATTGACCAGCTTTGTGAAAATATCAAAAATCTAGTTATTTTGGCTGTTACATTAGTCTACCTCCTATTTATACCCCATGTCCCTCTTTAACGATTGGCCGCCTTACTGTTACGTGATGCCTGCCTATAGCCTATAGAAGTCAGCTAAGGACATGAACACAGTTTCTGTAAGGGAACTCAGTGTGATATATAAGAATGCAATAATTCACGTGACTATATATTAGTGAATAATAAATTGATCTTAACAGATTCAAAGTTTAACTAGTTATGTACCTTAAATAATATACCTAGTATTTGGGAGATCTCAAGAGAAACTTGTTTGATATGACATTCCCACTGATAAATTATCATCAATTATAATTCGTTTATTCGTTCTACAGTGTGTATCAAAAAAACGAAACAGATATATCATTCATTGATATTGAATATCAATGAATGATATATCTGTTTCGTTTTTTTGACCGAATATATTATATTATTATATTCATATATTATTATATATATTATTCGGTCATGGTTGGGCGAGTAATCATTCCATTTGCAAAGTGGGCCAAAATTAGCTTGGGGCCAAGTTATAAACATCGCAAAAATCAGTGTACGGAGCCTGATGCAATATTGGAAGAAAACATAAAACCAATACTGACTGCATCCTTTTCATTCATTCCTTTTCATGTACCAAAAAACCAAATTACTCCTATTTCCAATGGAATATCATTCATTTACAGGGAGTCATGGCTGGCCGAATAATCATTCATTTTGCAAAGTGGGGCAAACTTCAGCTCGGACCTAAGTTTTAAACATTGCAAATGTCAGTACAAGGGGCATAGGGGCTATTGGAAGAAGGCGTAACAGGTGTGGCAGACAGTAAAGTGTTCATACTCATACTCTTGCAAGAATACATCCGATAGCCTCTCCAAATTGCCACCACTTCCTTGCACATATAAAGATGCGCTCATTTGTCCATGTCATGCATGGTTCAGCCCTGAGTCATCTGTGGGTTAAAGCAGCAAAAAGCAGCCCATGGGCAATGCTTTCCCAAGGTTTTGCAATATCCGGTGGAGGAATTGCGAGCACAGATGCTCAAGTCAGGGGAACTTCCATTGGCACTTAGCCCTTGTACTGATTTTTGCAATATCTAAAACTTGGTCCAGAGCCGATTTTGACCCACTGTGCAAATGGGAGGATTTCTCACCCAACCATAACCACATGTGGATGAATGACATATCATTGCAAAGAAGAGAGACGTGGCTTAAAGGTTCATTGAATGAAAATGATGTAGTCATCACTAGTTTTGTGATTTTACGAGATATCTACTTGTTGCGTTTTTTTTGATACGCCCTGTATATTATTTTGTCGTATCTTTATATTCAGAAGATGGTATTCGTTTTGAGTGATTTTACGAAATGAAAATAACATGAATTTGGTTATGTGTACATGTATGTTAGCGCCATGTAATGTTTTGAGGGTATTGTTGATAGAATGAACTAATGTATTTAAATCTTTACCAGAACCCTCTAAATTTGTGCCATCAGCAACAATTTTTAGTTTTGGAGTAGTAGTTGCTTTCACAATGTCATTAATATATATTAAAAATAAAATTTGTCCAAGAATTGATCCTTGTGGTACACCACACGATATTTCTGTAGGGTTTGATACACAGCCTTCATATTCAGTAATTTGAGCTGAGATCGATATGATAAGTAACTATCAAACCAATTATAAACAGTACCCCTTATTCCACAAAAGTGTAATTTTACAGAAATTACAGAATCTGGTGATTTACAGTGTCGAGAGCTTTTGATAAATCAATAAATATCCACTTGTTTAGACTTATTTGTTTAAAACTTTTATGTGTTAATCTATAGAAAAATCTACTTGTTTAGACCCAATAAACTTAAGTTCTGAGAAAATGAGGATTTCAGCAAGGGTTGTTGACTTTACATGGGGATACAATTGACTTCAAAGCTGCATATCATTAACTTGGTAGAAGTTTCATTGCTGATCAAGAGGCTCTTCGGATCCAATTTCTTGAGAGTGAGGTACCAACAATAAGATATGGAAATGTATGCAAAAGTGTGAAGTACATGAAACAAGTTTGAGTTTGAACATAATGTTTTGAACACAAAAAAAACATTCACTGAGTCAATCCTATTTGAATGCTAATATGGCAAGGTGCTGATTTTACCTCCTTTCATAATGGTCCTGATTGCACAGTTATCCATAACAGTTACGTAATGACCTAGGTATCATTTGATGGAGGACAAACTGTTTTATTATTATTATATCTTGGTTACCGCCATATTAGGCGAGCAATACCTCATTGGTACATTCCGTATTTTGCGTATTTTACACTCGAAGATAGAGCCAGAAACTCCTCCTAGGAGTAGCCCTGTGTTCTTTTGTGTGCACAGGTACACAGACATACAGGTACACACCACAGCCTTTTACACGAGTCGTGAACCACTCAGTCAAACACCCAAAGTTACATAACGCACAAACTTGTCTGAACCGGGAATCGAACCCGGGGCCAAGCGATATTGGTAACCTTGGCTCTGCCACTGAGCCATAGCGGGTGGACTGCTACCTTCAGAAACTCTAGTATCCTGGCTTTGAAGTTGGGTTTACTTTTTTGTGGACGCCCTGTATAACAAAGCTTATATTCGCGAATTCAACGTTCGAATACCGGATTAACCTATTCATTTTTATAAATTAAACCGTCATTTCGAAGTTGTTTTAATAAACAACCCGTTAGTAGACGAACAGTTATCAGTGGTCTCATGATTTTAATATCACTATTACGATCAATTTTAATAAAGCTGCTTGGTTGAATTAGCGAACAAATCGTAGGTCATTGTTACTTGCTACAGCAGTTAGGACCGTTCTTTAGGTAGAAAGCAACTTACTTTTTCACCCATTTGAATACATTTAAAATTGGCAAAGTTCAAATCATAATTTCTCAAATCCCAGCCCATCGAATCCTCACATCCATTCAGATCATGTAGTCCTATTCAAAAACTTCCCGTTCGGTTATATGGTGAAAAAAATATCCCACGAACGAAAAAAGATTTTGCTACATTTATAAGCGAGCATTGATTTCTGGGCCTGTAAAAAGCACGTAGGACCTGATTACCCCATTGATTTACTGAGACCGCCAAAAATATAATTCAATTTTTTGGTTCAAAATAATAATCTGTCAGCGGTCCCTGACACTCCTACTAGCTATCACCAAACATTAATTGCCAATACATGTACACATATATGTGCCATACATCTACAAAGTAGCGAACTAGTGTATTAAGTACTACTTTTCCTATACGATGAGCAAAACAAATCTCAAGTAGGTTATATTGACCCTATTAGTGTCATGGTTGGGTTTGAAGGCGATAGCTTGCTGCAGTATTTCCAGCTACCGGAATACATGGCAGTTAGTATTCATATTTAAATGAGTTTGCACTGGACATACAGCTAGGATATAAAACCGTAATAATCGGTGATTTCTATTTCGCACTAATCACTTATAATTAGAAAAGTATTGTTCTGTACCAATATACATTGGTTCCTGATAATCACTTTTCTATTTTCTAAGAAACTGACCCATTGATTATTGCCAACTAATTATCAAAAAATTATTAAACTTCAAAGACCTAATTACAAGATAATTATCACTGACAGAATTATCATTACTTGTGGGACACCCTGTTAGAGATGTTGCGAAATCTCTCTAATATCAATAACACTCTGTAGAATGTGTCTGTACAATACCAAACTAGGACTCAGTGACCTACTATCAAGTGTTTGGTTTTTCGCTGTCTACTCAGGGAGATACATGTACATATTTCGACGTGTTTGTGTTGTTTGACACTTAAACCAAAAACTGAAAAAATACAAGAAAGTAAAGAAGAACATTGGTAGAATGGCCACTGATTGCTTAAGATCATATTTAAGGAAAGGTCGATGGGAATACGGCAAAGAGTACTTTAGAGATGGTGTACTTATCCTGCCTTTTGTGCATCCTGCAGCATACTCTGAAGAGACAAAGAATTTTAAGATCCGTAAAGATGATGTCTTCATGTCGTCTTTTCCTAGGGCTGGTAAGGCTGACACGGTTGACAAATTTACACCACAGGATTTATGATACGCATATATATCACACTGACAATCGTTATATATAACTAAGCTTGTATTCGTAGTTGCAACTTCCGGCTGTCGGATACCGGATTAAACTATTAATTTTGATAAAGTAAGCCGTCATTTTGAAGTTGATTCAACGAACAACCTGTAAGTCAACGAACAGTGATCAGTGGTCTCATGATTTTTAAAACCACTGTAACGATCAGTTTCAATAAAGCTGCTTGCTTGGTTTAACTAGCAAACAGATCGTATATTCATATTTGAAAGATTTTGCACTGGGAAGACAGCTAATACAAAATAATCGGTGATTATTTTTTCTCACTAATCACTTGAATAGAATCGTTCTGATCCTGATAATCACTTTTTATTTTCTAAGAAACTTACCCACTGTTTATCGCCAACTGATCATCAAGAAACAGACCTAATTACTAATGGCCTGCACTTGAATTCAATCTCTTAGAAAATAAAGAGATCAAATCAACTGATATTTGAAGTTGTTTTTTGGAGCACATCTAACATACTAGTAATTTCAGGGTGTTCAAAAATCGGACCGAAATGATTCGTCATAACTATGAGAAAACCTTGCCATTTTTGTTCATTCTTTTTGAAGTTTCAGTGGAAAGTCTGAATGCTAAGATATTGTTTGGACAATAGAATAAAAGATATGAGCCATGAATAAATAATACGAAATATCAGTTGTTAGTTCATATACGCAAGGATCCGGGCTTAAGGAGAACATTTGGTGGCAGAAATACTCCTGGAGCATTATCAATGTCTGGTTGATCGAAACATAGAGAAAATGGTACTGTACCCCAATAGTGCTAATAGAGAGAGCCATTCTGGGGGACCAAAGTCTGCGACGACAGAACATATTTGTATATTTATTTTATAGTGGCATGGTTAACAAATACACTTAAATTTCGTAAAACAACAATAGCCCAGGCCGTCATCGACCTATAAGACACTGGTATGTGAAAATTCAATAAATAGCAATAGTCATTAATTAAAAGTCTGTAAAATTATCTAAAAATAGCACATTCTCTTAATTTTAAGAATTGTAAGGTGTTCAATTACATATGACTCTTATTGATTATTAGACATGCCCTTGGAATATATGGACATTCCAATACCTCTGTAACATTTAATTAGTAAATCTTACCTGCCTATTTGTTATTGTATTATGTTTAATAAGACATGAACAATAATTCGTTGTTTGACCCCTTGCGATTATATGGAAAAAATTCTGGTAATAAAATGTTTTAAATGGTAAAAAACTAATATGTTCCCAATCATGAATTACCTGAATATTTCACACAATTTAGTTGAATTTTCTTGGCCCATATTTAAAAAAATCAAACAAAATCTGAAAACACACTTTTTAAGTACATATAGAAAATACATTTTCTATCCAGGTATTGGAAATGAATGGTTTGCAGAATTAAGAACACACTATACTTTATTTTCAAGTCAAAGAAAGAACAAATACTAGATAAAGTAACTTTAACAAACTTTTAAATATCCTTGTAAATACGAAACAAGATAACGTTGCCATGTCAACTAAAGATGATGTCATATGATGACATCATAGTTGAAATTTCTTAGTTAATGAGTTAATGAAAACACAGAATGAAATCCTGATGACATCACTGTGACCTATATATTGGTTGATGACACCAGATGACACCAGTCAGTGTCCATTTTTCATTCGCAGAAGAGAGGAGTAACCAAGGGACCCTAGGTATCATGAAGATAATCCCCCTATTCACACCTCAAATATTATCAAGGAATCACTAACAAATTAAAGATGGGTCCATATCAAGGATCGAGGTTCCTACTCACCTGAAAAGGCACCGCTTGATTTAACAATGTAAAATCACAGGCCAAAGACTATATTGCAGGCATGCTAAACACTGTAAAATCATAGAGACATATAAAACGTTATATATGTAGAACAATCACGTGTTTTAATTAACAATGTAAAATGTTATGTTTTAATCAGGTAAAAATCGTCAATTCACTGATTATTTGTGATTAAAGTATTTTATATTCGAGTCATTTCACGCGTGTTGGCATCAAGTCGCATCCGGTAGCCACTAGCCGAAGGTTGCATTCCCGAATACAAGCTATTTTAGCTAAATCTAAAATTAAATCTTATTTTATACAGGGACACACTTGACCTGCGAGCTCATTCAAAGTGTATTGAACTTTGGAAGCACGCAGGAGTTATGGGATCAACAAATTCATGATCGTGTACAGTTTCTACAAGTCAGTAGGGAAGGTAAGCTTACGCGTATGTGTTTCCAGGTTCATGGCCTGAAAAACGAAATAAAGTGTTTGTTTAAAGTGTTTGTTTAAATATGAACACCATAATCATGTCTTAACGGGTAACTAATACATAATGTAAATACCATTATGTGGCACCTAATACTCCCTCTTGGGGGTCATAGTCACTAAAACCTGTAAATATGTTACATTGATTTTAATCTAGAAAAAAATATCCCATCCGATAGTAAACTTCGAAAAGTTGGGTATCGATATGGCGAACTTTTTGAACACACGTTTCTCTTAAACCAGTCATCAAAAAATTTTACACATTGTCAATTTAATGGTCATCTTTTGAATGGTAACAATATGATTTGAAAAATATTGTATCCTTTCATCTATATTGTTTTAGATAACACATCAAACACTTGTTTTGTTCTTGGTATCATGTTCCCAGAGTGAAATGAAACATCTGTCCGAACCCCATTGGAACAAAACGACATAAACACAACATGTTTAGGTCTCTCAATATTGTAATTGTACAAAGGACATTTTGGTTGACTTTTAAAAGTATCTTGTTAATAAAATAAAGGGTTTATCTTGGTTTTTATCTTTTTGGGGGGATTTTGTTTTAATTTTTTGAATACTTTTTTAAAATCAACCAAAAAATCCTTTGTATAACTATAATATTGAGAGGTTTAAAACATGCTGTATATGCTATTTTGTTCCAACAAAGTTCGGGAAGACATTTTATCTATTTCTCAAGAATAGTTAGAAATGAGCAAAAACAGTTGCATTAAAAAAACAAAAAATGTTAACAAAAACATTTATGTAAAATATAATTTTCGCATTAAATTGTTGTCAACATTACATAAAATACCGTGTTTTTACAGAATGTTTTCAATGATTGGTTTAAGAGAAAAACATTGTTGAATTCAGTTTTCCATATCGATACCACTCCTTTGATTAAGAATCAAGAAGGTCAAGAATCAAATCTAACTTTATGGAGGTATGATGAAATCATTTCATTGGTCAGCTTATCTCTGCAATTGATTTGATTGGTCATCAAAATTTTCAAGAAAACTGTACGGGTCAGATCGAGAGTAAGCTATTACTATCTCATTGGTAAACTGACCCTTGTATTAACTTGAAAATATATTATTTTAGGTCATTTCATATCTTTTTAGTGATATTTTATAAAATACTTTTCAATGTGTGAAAAGAATTTAAGCCCAAGACTCAATGTAATATGGAATGACCATTCCTTTCAGGCGTTGTTTCCTAAAATTTACACTCGATGCTCTCACATATCGTGCACATTTTGGAAAGCAACACCTTCAAGGAATGATCATTCCATGTATATTGCACATTGCAGTGCAGGACTTAAATCGTCCATCAACGCATGAACGCATGCGCGACAGTTTTTATACTTTTTCGAACATTTTTAAACAACACAACTGACAATTTTATTTGATGTTCTCCGATCTCCTAGACGTCTAACAACGCAAGGATGGAGTGGGGAATAACGTGTATGTAAGACATGATAAGAAATGCTACTTGTACTTATTCTTATGACTCCAAAGTTTCCCATTTTTCATTCTTCAGAGATATAATATCCAGTTTCTTACTGGGGTAGTGAGTTTAGTTTTTTCAAATACACGAGTTTTTGTGAATTTGTTCCATCGTAAAGACATATAAATCCCCCCTCAATCCTATCCCCCCTCCATCCAATATTAATTTATTTCGATTATTTTTTTGTTTTTTGTATAACGCATTGAAACTAACTTTAAAAAGTGAGCAATGTCATTAGTATTGTTATAATAACGTCCCTTATACCTATTTATTACAGATCGTGTAGACCATTGTTGCCCGATTTATAGCAAAAACATTGATTTTTGCACGTTTGTGATGATGCGCCTTTTTTTAATAGATCTCATATCTTAGAAGGGTATCAGTTCAAAAGAATACTAGATGGCCTAACATATTTTGCCATGCACTGCGCCTATTCAAATGGCAATTCAGTTGTATATGTTCTCTTGAAAAAAATAAATCTTCCAAAGGATCTAGTGCACCCGCCATTATGATCTCCCCATGAACAAAATGAATCATTTTTAGGTGTAACATAAAGAATACAATGTCACATAATACTGTGGAAAATATTTAAGCGTTTGGACCCACATGGGCTGAGGTTGAGGTCATTAAGTTCAGCAAGGGTGTATTGACTTGCCATTGGATGTGCTCCATTGACTTAACATGTGGATATCATCAGATTCCAATGGAGGCCATTGGTTTCTATTGATTTTCACAAAAATACCTAAAATACACTATGACCTGAATCGATTGCAAATTAAATAATTTCACAATATGACACAAATGGTATATCACATCAGATGTGCAAATATTAAGTTTGCAATCGATTCAGGTCATACTTCAAATTAAAGGCTTAGACATTTTTTTCATCATTTTTTTCCTACAAAATGGCTATAGGAAAATGCTTCAAAAGCAACTTTTACACTTATGAAATCCCATACAAATTTGTAAATCCAAAGATTATACTGTTATGTTTCATTAATTAATAACATATTTGGATAAGATGTAGGGATGTTTAGGATGCAAATGGATTTTGACAGACACAAAAACACTTCCTGGTTTGGCATCTCGACCCCTGTACACTTTATGATTGAATATTGGCCCTAATAAGTGGCCCATTCATCAATACAGTGCTGAATATAGGTCAAAAAGATACTAGTGTACATATAAATGTAATAATAAAAGCAGTATTTTTATTTTGAAAAATCAGATGAATTATTTTTTTCTCATGGGGAGATCCCAATGGAGGGTGTATAAGGTCCTTTGTTGAGTTTTCTTGCAGAAATCGCCTAATCCCCCCCCCCCCCCCTACATCCATTTTGTACGATCACCTGGCGTGATTTTAATATTTAGAAGTTGAATTTAGTGAGTTGATAGTAAATATTGCATTAAGCACTCATTATTCTGCAAACACGAGTGCCTGGAACATCAACTATATCGGTTACAAACAATTCTGTGTTTTATCTATTTCTCATATATTGAGAAATTCAATTCACAAGGGGCGATTCATATAATCTGATAAAAATGCTCTCATTTTGTGATTTTTTCACATATCCCTCTCATTTTTCAGAAAATGTAGATTATGTAATTACACACACAATGCTAAAATATTTAAATTATCAATGAGATAATTTTGCCATGGTAACCTGTATTAAGGGTTAGCAGGTCAATTAAGTTAGAACATATAAATATCATAATAACTTGTTATTTTATCTTAATTATTTCGAAGCATGCGGAAATCATGCATTTTTTCTAAAAAAGATTGGTATTGTTACTCGTTGTTTGTTGCTAAACAAATGTTTATATGTGCTCACTATAACATCACAACAAATTACAATAGCATTGGGCCAATTGACATTACATGTCATGAGACACACCAAATATCAAATTGTCAGATGAGGTTAATGTGGCTGGTGCAGATTGTGACATTAACGGATACATTAGGAAATACCATTAGATTTTATTTTCTTTTAAGAATAAGTAAGAGAACACTGTCTCAGTCAAACATGGACTCATTAAGTGCATGGTCAAGGTGTTATATCTGCATAAAGAATCTATAGGTAGTATTGTAAAGAGGAAGGCATGATGGTCACTGTTGAAGATCATTTACAATCTGGTTGCAAGAAGAGCTTGCGGACAGAGAATACACTACGATAAATTGAGATGTAACTTATGAAAATATAGCTATCCCACTGTATAAATTATCAAACAAGGGCAACAGGGGTATGGAACATATCAATGAATAGTTGGTAATGACTGGAAGATGCGTGTGATCTGCTTAAAAAAGGTACAGAGGAATGATTAAATTACCATACGAGTATTTATCTATTTTAGAGGTTATTATTTTACTGAATTGCCTAAATACGCTAAATACAGGTTACCATGGCAACCTTATTTCAAAATTAATTTAAGATATAGCTAAAATATTTTAGCATCGTATGTGTAATTACATTATCTACATCTTCTGAAAAAATGAAAGGGATATGTGAAAAAATCACAAAATGAGAGCATTTTTATCAGAATATATGGATCGCCGCTTGTATAAACAGGATTTTATTAACTTATCCCCTACAAATTTAAGACATCTTTGGGTCTTTGCGGTAGGTTGTATATAGGCGGGTAGGAAACAGGACATCTCATCCCTAAGACAACTCATCCCAAGACAACTCATCCCCAAGACATCTCATCCCAAGACAACTCACCCCAAGACATCTCATCCCAAGACAATTCATCCCCAAGACAACTCTTCCCAACTTGAAATATAACATAATTTTATACAATTTCATTTCACTTTTAAAAGAATGAAAAATGTTTAGAGATTTTAGCAGTTAGCACACTGGTCATGGATTATCTTTGTTTTTTATGATATACGTTTTTCATGCTATGTTTTAAACTGACACATTTCATATTTTGTCATGCTGTATTTACTTAATATTTTTGTATTTTGAAGTTAGTTTAGCCTAGTTTTAGTTAATTTTTGTTGACTGATAAAGATAAACGTGTTCAAATTAGATTAACTCAGTTAGAATGTATTATCCAAGGTGCTATCGGAATAATTCTCTCAGATTAATTCAGTCTTTGTTTTAAAATATTTTGGCTTAATCCTAAATAAGATTGCCAATTTCAAACTTTCAGATTTATGATGATTAAATTTGAAAATAATGTCTATGTCTTTTATGTTCAATTCTATATTCTCAAATATATTTAGAATAACCCAGAATTAATCAAAATAGCGGCAGAACTTACAAGTAAAACATAACTTCCAAGTGCCATTTCAAAATGCTAAAAATCAGTATCAAAAATTGAGTGTGTAATCAAAAATCACCTTGTAAACATAAAAATGAAAAATAGGATATATATAAAATAGAGGACAAAATAATTTATCAATTGTACAAGTGGGATGAGTTGTCTTGGGATGAGATGTCTTGGGATGAGTTGTCATGTGATGAGATGTCTTTGGATGAGTTGTCTTGGGGATGACTTGTCTTGGGATGAGTTGTCTTAGGGATGACTTGTCTTGGAATGACTTGTCTAGAAACCACCGAGTAGACTTTCCCTCCGTGGTATAATATATTGTTAAAAGGTGATTTTATTCCCGGATTTTATAACAGTCATATTGGGAACAACTCCTAGAGAAGATCCAGGGAGTAGTCCTCTTCCACGTGCTGAGGCCGCTCAAAGTCCAAGATTATTCTTCAACCACATGAGCTACGAATTTGTTCCAAATGATGTCAAACTGGGAAAATGTAAAGTGAGTTGTCGTCATTTAATATCAAATTGTATATAACTTACAGGAGGAGAATGCTGCCAAATAGCGAGTTGCACCTAAAATCGGATTTCTGGTCTACAACATGGGCATTCAATGAATCACTAAACTACAATAAATAGATAATGTATCTATATTTCCACGAGTCGTTATCCTATTTATCAGCCCTTACACATGTAGTCAATTGTTATACTATTCTTGTAGTCCCTGATCTGGTCCCTCTGAAAACAAGTTTCGTGTTGTCATATCTATAAAACGCAAAACAAGGCTTCTCTTGAAACGTCACCTGTAAAACAAAAATTCTTGCACAGTTATACATATAATATTCTTTTGCAGGTCATAATCACCCTTAGGAACCCTAAATCTACATACCTGAGCTGGTTCTACTTATTAAGAGATGGTTTCAAAGGTTTGTTCGATTGGGATAGTCCTCTTACATGGGAGGACTTTTCTGCAGCCATGTTAACTGGGGAAACTAAAGACAGTAAGTCTTGATCGTGTAGTCAATTGTTATACTATTCTTGTAGGTTCTGGTCTGGTCCCGCAGAAAACAAGTTTCGTGTTGTCTGGTACTTTCCCACAAAAAATTATTGTATAGTTTGATAGAACAGACTTCCCTCATAAAGAAAACACCTCTTATATTTAATAGAAACAGAGGCAAAATGCACCATTATGGGGTTAGACAAGGTGGCATTCTGAAGTCTCACTTTAAATAAATATTGTCATCGCGATTCCAGAAAAAACACTAAACAGATGTACTTCAAATGCTCCCACTTGTTATATCGTAATAAATCCTAGACCTCATTATTTTATCGGTGGTCAATTAATTTAATAAATCTTGGCATTGCGATTCCAGGAAAACCACTGAACAGATTTACTTAAAATTCTCACACATATTACGTGGTAAGAAGTCCTAGAGCTCATTCGTTTTCCGGTGGCCATCTTGCATTCTGGCGGCCATCTTGGAAGTTTCAAGATAAATCTTGTCATCGGAATTTTAGAAAACCAAATGTATTTACCTCAAATTTTCGAAGAAAAGAAGTTCTAGAGCAGATTAACTTTTCGGTGGCCATCTAGGAAGCTTTTAGATAAATCTTGTCATCGCGATTCCAGGAAAACAACTTAACAGATTTATTTCAAATTTTAACACATGTTAATAGTAAAAAGTTCTAGAGCTGTTTAACTTTTCGGCAGCCATCTTGCACTCTGGCGGCCATCTTGGAAGTTTTACATAAATCTTGTACTTTATACTACATTAATACATTTTGCGTTTTAACTTTCCCACAAAAATGATTGTACTGTTTGATAGAACAGACTTCCCTCATAAAGAAAACAGTTTTAATATTGATATAAATAGGGGCAAAAGGCACTAAAATGGGGTTACGCAAGGTTGCATTATGAAGACAACTCTTCACTGTTTCTTTATTTTATACCACATAAGTGCATATTACTAAAGAGAGATTACATTAGGTGGTATTCTAAAGACAACGTTTACTATGCTTCTGTAATAATTTGACATAAAAGACTTTATCTATACTGAAAATCTTAGATCCAAGCATAGAGAATACGCCGTCAGTCCGCATTTGATTTTTTGAAGTGAGTTTCGTAGATCGTCAGATTTCTCCGACTGATATCGGGTTATCTCAAATTGGTTCGTTTATAAATTCGAATTTCTTACCCTTGTAAGGCGCATGCGCAAATTTAATTCATAAACAATATTGGTTGATGGTTTTCTCCTGAGCATGCGTCAAGTCTGATGATCACTTATGACGAAGACCGGAGCAAACATTACTAGCTCTCGAACGAAATTCCAAGATTCAGATCATTTCGCCGTATTTGCTAAGCGTGTATACTTGAATAACAAGCTGTCATTAGTTTTTTGGTGGCCATCTTGCATTCTGGCGGCCATCTTTGAGGTTTTAAGATAAATCTTGTCATCACGATTTCAGGAAAACCAAACGGATTTACTTCAAATTTCCGCACATGTAACATGGTGTTACATGGTAAGAAAGTCTAGATGTGATTAACTTTTCGGCAGCCATCTTGCATTCTGGCGGCCATCTTGGAAGTTTTTGGATAAATCTTGTCATCGTGATTTAAGGAAAACCACCTAACAGATTAACTTCAATTCTCACTCATCTTACATGGTATGAAGTTCTAGAGCTGATTAACTTTCGGTGCCCATCTTGCATTCTGGCAACCATCTTGGAAATTTTTAGATAAATCTTGTCATCGCGATTCCAGGAAAACCACTTGACAGTTTTACTTCAAATTTTCACACATGTTACATGGTATGAAGTGTGGTATAAAGTACAGAAACAGAGTAAAAAGCTATATTTTAGAATATCACATTGTTTTTTTTGTTTTTATTAAAATCAATGTAACATATTTACAGGTTTTAGTGGCTATGACCCCAAGAGGGAGTATTAGGTGCCACATAATGGTATTTACAATGATTTGTTAAATATTATAAAAAGTGTACATGTTAATTTGCAAAGTATGATCTTGTACACAATTAAAAAAATAAAGTTATTTAATGAAAATGATTAAAGGCCTCTTCTACAATAACAGGTGAGATTGTGCAGTAGTTCAAGGAACTACTCCTCCAAGTATAGATTGCAGTAATAATCTTTAAATGACTTTTTTGAGAATAGAGATGCTTTTTGATGTTTTGATATACAAAGGGAGTTTCATTCCATCTAAGGCCACCTTGAACTAAAATACTTTTCTTTCCATAGTTAGTGTTAAATTTAGAAATATGGAGATCATTCATTTGTCGAGTCAAATGATGATAAATGTCCAGATTGCATTATAATAATTACAAAAATATCATCTGGGAAATCAATTTTTCTTAAACATTTGAACACTTTGACACTTTAGACACTTTGAATAAATATAACTTGAAATGAAAAAAAAGAAAATATCCTTCTGTAATGAACACCTCATACAGTGAACAATGTGGACTTAAAGATGTTCAATGTACACATGTTTTACTGTATTTACAGACTTTCTTTATCAGAAGAACACCAAAAATGTTCAGCGACTCACAATTTAGGAATGACTTGCATGAAATATTGCCGGGAAAATTAATCATCGGGACTCAAATTTTAAAAAGGTTTACGTCGCGTCCCAGGGACAAAAAATGGTCTAGGGCTAGCACTGTGAGGGTTTGAACAATGAACCCCACATTTTGGGGCACCAATAAATCTGCTTTCACACCAGTGGATGATAATTTTTTCATATTTTAGTGGCGGGATTCTGTGGGACCTGGTTTGATTTCTATAAGCAATGGTGGGAGAATAGAAGCCCAAACATGTTCTTTTTAAGCTACGAGGAACTAATGAAGGTACTGTGTCACCATTTAGTCCTTGCTTTACCTGGCCATCGTTCTGTATTTTTGCAAACATCCCTTTCTTTCAAAATCACCGTTGAGAACAGCCTCGATGTTTTGCACATTTGGTTAGTCATTTCACCCTCCGTGCATATGCATTTTCTCATTCAAGTCATTGATTATATAATATTTCAAATTAAGTAAGGTCTATGAATACGAATATGCTTGTACCCTTCAAATTCATTTTAACATATCATATCATGCAAAAATATACTTTTTATAATATTATGATATTATTATAAAAATGATTGCCAATCCTTAATTATAACAGGATTCCCCAAATGTAATAATGGAGTTGGCCAAGTTTCTAGAAAAGGACTTGAACGAGGATCAGGTTGAGACGATTTCACAACATATTAAGTTTGACAACCTAAAGAAAAGCCCTGGGTTTGGCGAGGCCTTCGCTCGAATGGAAGTTCTTCGAAAGGGGGCGACCCCTCATATGAGAAAAGGTATGCTTAGTCAATTAGGAAATACATGTATGGACAGTATGAAGACTCCTACCCTTTTTCTGATGCCTCGTAGAGAATGTTTTGGAATAATGAACCGTGTCGGGAACAACTTCGTACTAGAGTACAATCAGAAGCCCATTCCTGACGTTTACGAACGGATTGGACGTATACTAAGAACCGTTTGGGGTCTATTTGCAAACTTCATACTTCGTATTTGAACGGCTAGGTCCTCCAGAACTTAGAGCATGCTCAAAATGTTCTGATGGTCGTCACGTTAGATGCAATTAGAACGATTGACAACGTGCTTAAGACGAGTTGGACGTACTGCGAACGGTACTGTTCAATCCTAGTATGGACATTTTAGAACGAGTTGAACTGTTTTGGAACGTATTGAGAGCGAGGTAAAACTAATTGAAAACGGGTTTAAACTGATTGAGGACCAAACGAGTTGCCACTAAGTTCTTAAAGACGTTGCCGAACTGATTTTAAATGAACGTAGCTGCAACTTCCTACGATCTATTTGTGAACTTCATGGACGTGGTCAGACGAAAGGGAATTTTGAATTTTGAATCATCTCAAAATTCGATGACGACCACGCCGTTCTGTGATTAGAACATGTGACAACGTACTTCAAACGAGATGACCCACTAGGCAAGGAACGTAATTGCCGTACTTCGACCCTACGTGTACTAGGGATGCGTTAATGGAGTCCGTGTACTCACCGGCATTGTGCGACCTGAACGAACGGCGAATGAGGTGGACGACTGCATGAAGACTGTTTAGGAACGAAGTAGCTAATCATAGACATACATGTATTTCCCGACCATCAGCCAGATTTGGCTCATTTTACGGCTGGAAAGAACAGTTCAGAACTAGTTTGGTGTGATATGGGGGTTACCCTTCTATCACACCAAACTAGTTCTCACTATGTTCTCGAAAAACGGGCTTAAACTGTGCACGAACGGAGTGGATGTACTGAGAACCGCTTGGGGTCTATTTATAAACTTCGAAAAATTCGTGAACGCACTCGAACGGGTAGGTCCTCTAGAACTGCTCAAAAATGTTCTTGTTGTCGTCGTGTTCTGCAATTAGAACGAGTCACGACGTACTAACGACGAGCTTGACGTACTATCAACGGAACTGTCGTTCTTCAATCCTACCAGGGATGTTTTTACAACGAGTTGAACTGTCTGAGGACGTATTGAGAACAGGGTAGAACTAATTGCAAACGGGTTTAAACTGATTAAGAACGACTGCGTATGAACGAGTTAGCAAAAAATAGCTATCACACCAAATTAGTTGTCACTGCGTTCTTCAAAATTCGATGGCGGCCATACCGTTCTGTTATAAAATTGTGTGACAAAGTACTTCATACGAGATGACCTTCTAGACTAGTAGTCTATAGGAACATAATTGCCGTACTTCGATCCTACTTGAGACGCGTTATACGAAGTTGTGCAATAGAATATCAATTGCAGTACGTCTGTACACCGAAGCGGCGCGACCTGAATGAATTGCGAATGAGATGAGATGTATTGAAGACTGTCTATGAACGGAGAAGACTGTCTATGAACGGTGAAGCTAATTATTTTAGACATATTTCCCGACTACAGCCAGATTTTGCCTGTTTTATGACTTTTTCGTATGACTGGAAAGAACGGTTGAGAACTAGTTTGGTGTGATAGGGGAGTTAGAGCTTTAAATTAATGCATGCATGCAGTATCAATACAGTATATTATGAACTTAAAAAACGGCCAACACTAGTAAAGCCAACAAAAGGTTTAAAAAGCAAGCTCAGTGGTGTCCTGTTTCAGAACCCCTATTCTTGCATGCCAATTGAAAATGGATTCTAGCAAAACTACTGTATCTAACATGAATGTACTTGTTGAGACTCAATCAACTTGAGCCTGAGGAAATAAGGATTTCAGCAAGTGCGCAATGTACATTGACTTAACATGGGGATATACACCATTGTATCATTGTATGACTCAGCATCGGGATACCATCATGTACATTACCATGTGGTTAGATACAAAATCCTCAAGTCGATCGAATCTCAACAAGTCCATTCATGTTGGATAGTATTGCTAGAATCCATTTTCAATAGCAAGAATTAAACAGTTCTAAAACAGGACATTAAAGCTTAACCGAGGAAATTTTGGGTTATTAGTATAGTACAAACTTGATGTTATTTCTCCTTTCTGTCTGGTTTCCAGGGAAGATAGACGACTGGAAAAACGTGTTCACGGTGGCACAGAGTGAGCAATTTGATAAACTCTTCCAGGAGAAAATGAAAGACACTTGCTTTCCTGAACCAATTTACGAATAAGACATGGTTATGACTATGTGAAGATTAATATATACGATGATTAATTGTATGTTAACAACTTCATCAAATGACCTTACTAGTGGCACTGAATTTGATAACATTAACACGGAATAACTAATCATTTCAGTAAAAATAGTAACCTTACGCTAGTAAAAATATAGCATACTGGCATAGGAATATCAGCACAACTAAAATCACTAAAATATAATTTGATTTCCCTGTGTTGCACATTATATTTTTTATTGAACTATATTACAGTAGCACATCTGTTAACAATTATTATATAAGGCAAAAAGCAGATACCTCGGGAAGTATTTTATTTATTTTTGAAAAAAAGAGGTTCAACCCTAACTATAGTTAGGCAATTTTGACATGTGTCCCCTTTATTTTTGACTAAAAATACATTATACGTTGTTTTTTCATTTCATTACTTTGACCTACTTTTGACCCCATTTGACCTACTTTTTGAGATTTTCAACAGATCCCTTGATAGTTTTGAATGAAATATAATATGGTACATTTTTACTGTACCTATTCAACTTTGGAAACGCCGGCGGAGGGTCATCTGTCCATTAGTGTCTTGAAGAATACGTTGCACATATTAGGGTTAAACTCCTCTGACGCTATATATAGTGTGCGCTTTCATGTACGTCAACGTATTCAATAATCAAGTGTGACAGTTGTCACACTTTAAGTGTGATAATCATCAAAGCTTGTTTGATGATGGTAGAATGGAAGTTTATTCTATATAATCAAATGCGTTATTTGCATAATCGTACGAGTCTCTAATCATTTAACTCTTGTTAATTAAGTTTCATACTTTGCCATTATGTCGAGTGCAGAAGCCTGTCTTATGTTAACACCTTAAGCCAAAAGTGAGCGTTAAACTGGGAAACCACATATATTTTCCTCTTTTAACCTTGCTGATCTATGGCCGTTAACAATCATTAAGCATGTCATGACGTTGCATTTGTAAAGATTTATGATCGGGAACAAATTGCCTCACTCCACCCTCCCCCACGCCCTCTGAAAATCCTAGCTACGGCAGTGCTTTGGATAACGTATATTTTTGTAAGGCACTTCCGTAAACAGATATTCAAAAGAAATTACAATACAGATCAAATGTAAAATTAACATTGAATAATTTAACACGTTACTTCTGACACTACACTCCCCTCAATAAGTTTGATAACCGGAAATCGTTATTGGGTATATAGCATTTGAAAGCCTGGCATAAGTCATTGTCTGAATTTTTTGTTCCTCTAGTTCGGAGATATACGACAAAAACGATTTTTCAAATCGATAGACATAAACATGCTTTTAAAGGTAGGATCAGATCTATAGGGAGTGACAAAATTGCAAGCTAAGCGTAATTGTTTTCCTTATAATAATCTTTACTATGATATCTCCTAAAAGATCCAAATATATGTCATCAATTTGTTGTTGGTTGTTGATTCAAAGTGCAGAAATCGGGGAATTAAATGTTTATATTCTCCCAAATAATGAAAGTGGTAACCATATTTATTGAAAAATGAATGAATTAAAAATCTCTTGTAACTAAACATGACAAGGAGTGGTATGGAGTATTAGGAACCCTATTTATGTCAACCAATAAGCACTAGATTATATATAACAAAACTTAGAACTTCAAATCAAAGACCAAGGTTAGAGAGAGTGTGTACCAAATGTAGCAGACTAGGAGATGAGTACCATTATATTTTAGAATTTAAACTTTTTGAAGATGACAGAAAAATACTTCTAGATAACTACTTCATCAGACAACCAAATATGTTAAAATTTAAAAGTTTGTTGTCAAATATTAAATATTCTATGCAATTAAGTAAATTGATGAAGATTATTGGTGGTAGTGAATTAAACTAAACTGTATTATCATTGTATGTATATGTACTATTTTATACTCACAAATATTTACATTGTATATGACATACCGTACTCCCAGTAATTTTTGCGTGCTACTACATTTCATGCTTTTCGCAAGTTTTTAAAATTCCCAGAATATAATAGCCGCAAAATTCCAATAGTTCGCAAAATTCCAATAGTTCACACGAAATATAATACGTCAAATATTAGTGGGAGTACAGTATGACTATTCAGGGCCAGCCTCAATATCTATGGTCCCTGAATCTGTATTATCAATAAGCATATACACAATCAGGGCCAGCCTTCTTTGAATTTAAGCCTTGAACCAAGCACACTATGTAAGCTTAAATCTGAGATCATGCGGTTGCTCTATCAAAGTATTTCCATCTCCATTTCCATGTCTGTCAATGTCTAAAACATGTTGCATTGTAGTTATTGCGGCTCTACATAGAGGGCACTGTAATATCATACTACTACACGAAGAACAACAATTTGTGTGGCCACAAGGAGAAAATCGTATTTGGATTTTTGAGTCCATACATATAATGCAGCAGTTTTCAGATGAAAGATCAGCGCCATCTTTAATGTCTGTGAGTCTGAGATCAGGAATTCCTTGTGCATGAAGCTGACGACGTGTCTGATCGTAAACCTCTCTAGACGTACGTTTGATGTCAAAGATGTATTTTTTACCTGCAATATAAACATTTCATTTACTGAAAATATTTAGAAATCCCGTTAGGATCAATCACAGGCTGAGAACCAAACTTGTTTACCAGTTTCATTTTCAAACTTCAAACTTAGAAGACCATTATACATTTAGACTGCTTTATATATTATATAACAGTTATAGCGTATCCTATGCCACCTAAAGGTTTAGAGTAGTTTACTAAATGAACAACATTGCTGAAATGTTTTTCGTGAAGCCACTCAGTAAAATTACGATTTCTCTGCACCCTGATGTTCAATCAACATCATTCGAGTATCTATATGTTCCTGACACGTTCGGGCATCTGGTTATGACAACGTCTACCCAATGTTTGCACGAGAAATTGACGTAATTCATGACTGTAATCGGGAAGACAAAAATATGTGATATTCTTTCAGAATAACTATTTACAAAAACGTTCCCGAGACACAATCCATTTAGGTAGGGTTTGTTTAAAGTCGAAAGCCCCAATAAGACAATACAAACCCAGATTAAACCCAGAAGAATGCAGATTTCATGTAATGATTTACGTTCATGTAAACAAGTAAAGTACATATAATCCCCATATAAAACACTGGCCTACGTGACATGTAATAACAGGTTCAAATTGAAATATAGAAAATGTTCAACATAGCATTTGCTTCCGTGTTCTGTATGCCCCTCTACCTGCTTAATAAGGCAATGTATCTTCAAATAAAACCTTAGCCAAGTAGATTAGAGTCTCTGGAACACTTTTGTAAATAGTTTTCACAATTTTATTCCCGGACGCCCAAATGTGTCAGGAACACATATATATTTGAATGATCTTGATTGGACATCAGGTTGCAGAGAAATCGTATTTTTACTGAGTGGATTATTGAATTTCATAGATCTAGAGGCCCTTCAGGAGTGGAACCCCTTAAATTATCAGAGATTAATGTTTCCAAACTGTTTTTAAACAAACTTACGTCTTGTTTTCAACCTACACCTTGCTCCCTTCTGTCGTATTCAATAAAACAAAAATAGTATATCACGGAGGGATACGGACTTGGTTATTCACTAGCGCCATAGGCGTTCTACTATTGACGCTCGGTATAAATATATAATACTTTTGTTCTTTCATATCGGTAGCACGTTGGCCTCATGGTTAGCGTGCCTGGCTTCCACGCTCTAGGTTAGTTGATCGAGACCCGTTCATGTCTAACTTTTTGATTTGCTTGTTGTCAAGATATAATAAGTAGGGCAAAATCCATAAAAAGTAGATCAAAAATACTCCAATGGAGTATAAAATTGTCACCAGGATTCCGGAATTAGACGAATGTTAACTCGTGAAATTTCGGTAGATAAAGTAGGTCAGAAAATCCGGATTAATCCGAACAAGGGTCGGGAATTTTCGTCATAAGAAGTAGATCAAAAATACTCCAATTGGAGTATAAAATTGTCACCAGGATTCCGAAATACGACGAATCGAATCGGCAAACTTCGCTTCAATAATGAAGTGCATAAAAACCGAAATGATCCGAACAACGTTCGGATAAAATCGTGAAACAGGTGTCAGGGGCTTCCCCTCATCTTTCCCGACATGGTTCTAAAAGCCATATATGGATCTATCACGTGACATTCAAATTGACGTTCCTATATGGTTCTATGGGCCTTATATGGATCTTTCGAACACGTGACCTAATACCAAATCAAAATTTTACCTTGACCATTGGATGGGATTTCATAGAAAATATCCAAGAAAACATATTCTCGTGATCCTTAAATCACTTAAAATCGATCATTTTATCCTCACCCCTTGATGGAATTTTATGAAAGAAGTTATGAAAACACATCGTCATGTAAGGGTTTTCACCTAAATTAGCTCGTTTTATCTTGACCCTTCAATTGAATTTCATTGAAAAATGTTTCATGAAAAATATCATCATGTTATGATTTGTATTTAAATAAGACCGTTTCATCTAAATACTTGCTGGATAATATTTCATAAAAAATGCACTTTAAAAATATTTCAGGATTTGCCTTAATTTATCAATGTAATGTAAGTATTAGATTGACTCTCAAATAGGGTCTATTTTAACTTTTTTTATTGAAATTAATACTTGGCAGGACTCACTCTCTAAATAGCTAATAAAAATTCAACCCTTGGATGTGATTTCGAGAATAAAATCAATAGCTCAATTCACTGATACTATATAAATTCTAAATATTAAATTACGGTATAATCAATGCATTTGCCAAGGTTTTGAGCCTTTCCACTCTCAAAATATGAATATGAATAAATTCTTAATCCAGTTCAATGACAAAAGAAGTTTTCAGGGACACTAACTGACTGTACAGCCCCCCCCCCCCCTCCCCCATCTTCTCTCTTACTGAGGAGCCCCTGAGGATAAGAGTGAGAGTAGAAGATAAAGACATTACAGGATAATAGAATGAAAGCGATGATGGATGAATGTGGGTATTAATGTACTTAAAAGTACATTGTGCTGTAGAGTTCAATGTTATATCTATATTTGGATGATAACATTATTTATTACTAAAATGTCAATTTTATTGATCTAAATACTAATA